GGAGCCAAGCTCTGGAGACAAAGAAGTCTTGGGAATCAACAATTTCAGCACCAACCTATGAGTGTTTTTCAGTACTGAGATATGTCTGAAGCTCCACCTTTCCCTCTTATTCTGGCACTGGAACAGGCTGTGATGTCACAGAGACCAGAATAAAAAACTTAAGTTCATATGCACGATGTGCATGTGCACCACAAGAAGATACTACAGACTACAACATTTTGAAGAGCCACAGTTACTGAAGGGTAACTGATTTTTTTGGTTTAAAAGCCACAGTAATAATTTTTTTTGTCATCATTCTGGCTTTGTCAACATCAAAATTGGAAGGAGTACTACAATATATAAAAATGTGGTGGTTGTGTTTTAGAAAAGGCTGCTTTAAAGATCCAGTATCTCCAGGGGTGGGCAATAATTTTTGATGTGGAGGGGGGCACTCCAAGATTTTGGGAAGTGGTCAAGGGGCTCACTCTTCCAAGATATTAATGGAGAAGATGCAACGTCTGGGATGGAGGTTGGCTGCAGAAGGGAGTTCAGGGTAAGGGATTGGGGTGCAGGAGGGAGACTGGAGTCTGGGACATAGTTTGGATGAAGGAGGCAGTTGTGACCTGGGACAGGAGACTTGACTGCAGGGGTTTGGGATCTGACCTAGGGTAGAAGAGGATTGTGATCTGGGACAGGAGATTAAGGTGCCAGATTTGGGAAGCTGTATGAGTGCAAGATGGGGACAGAGGGTTTGGATATGTTGAGTGGGGGCAGGTAGGGAGGGGCTGGGGTGCCAGAGGCAGTCTGTGGCAAGGAGACTTACAAGCCAGCAGCCAAACCTGCCTGCCTGCCTGCCGAGCTAAGGTTTGCAGAGCTTAAAACATTTACCAGCGATTGTGTTGGGGGTGGCTCATGAAGCTTCCCTCCTCCTCTCCAGTTTTGAAACAGAAATGGGGCCTGGCAGCCCCATTTCAAAACTGCATGTGGAGCTTCAGGGCAAGCAGGAGAATCTGCCTGGGGCTCCCTGCTGCATCTGTGGGCTGGATCTGGTGGCTTGGTTGGCCAGATCCTGCCCAGGCCTGAGTATATCTCAGCTAATGTCTTTCATGGAACATTAAACCAATTTGAATTAAGACAACAGTTTAGCATAAAGCTAAGGTTCTTCAAATGTATATAAGACTATGTTTAATTACATATAATAATCTGTGGGTTTTTTTTCTTTCATAGACTTAGGGCCAATAAGTCTCAACTGGTTTGAGGAACTCAGCACAGAAGCTCTACCCTATGAATCTGAAACATCAGAGAGACCTGAATACAGAGCTGTGTGTCTTGAGCAAAGTGCTTCTAAAACTCCAAGGGGAAAGCCCTTTACATGTAGTCAGTTGGCATCAACTCCAGTGATTTTCAAAGAACAGAGTATAACATTGCCACTCTTGTCTTCTCCAATAAAAGAATTGGGTCAGAAGAAAACAGAAACAGGTGAGTAAATGGATTTGTTTGAAGTAAAAGTGTGCTTTTAATAGCTTCCCACCATCCCCTAAAAGATAGACTTTATACAGTAAAACTTCAGTTGTCCGGCATCCAGTGGTCCTGCACTCCTGATAGTCCAGTACCAACTGGAACCCGGAAGTGCTCCTGCAGCTGCTTCAAGAAGTTGTTAGTCAATTACACTACCGCTGGCTGGATCCGCAGGCGACGGGCTTGCAATTTATCTTTCCTCTACTGCCTCTGGTGGGCGGGGGCAGGAGCGGGAGGGAGGGGGAGGAGGCAGAGGTCAGCGGGGGCAGGGGGCGCCCAACCCTCCGCCTGTGTTACAGGGAGGCAAAGCCTGCAATCCGCGGAGGCAGAGAGGGGGCAAGAGGCAGCCAGCTGCTTCAAGAAGTTGCTAGTCAATTACACTGCCACGGGCTGGATCCACAGGTGATAGGCTCGCAATCTGTCTTTCCTCTACTGCACCCCCGACCCCCCTGCTCTCGTTTCCCCACCACCACCCACCCAGAGGCAGTAAAGGAAAGATAGATTGCGAGCCTGTGGATCTAGCCAGCAGCAGTGTAATTGACTAGCAACTTCTTGAAGCAGCTGCCTGGCT